TTTCAACAATCTTTTTGTTATCATATTGTTTACCTTTTAAGCCCAATTGCTCTGCGATAACTTCCTCCAACAAGGTTACTGCCCTTCCGTCGTCAACTATGGCGAATGTTTCCATTTTTCCAATTAACTGGGATGATTTTAAATAGGTATGGAATTGAGAAAGGGCCTCGAATCCGTGGGTAGAGGAAGCTTAAAGTGTGTAGAATTGTGTAGACTAACATAATGTGAATGATGGCAGCCTTGAATTCAGCAAGTTTGCTTGTTTCTGCAAATCTGCATGTTATGCTTATATTTAAGGCATGCAAAGCACAAACGGTTCTCTTTCACAATGTCCCATCGCGATTTGACATCAGTTTGATCGTACCAAATTTTGCATGAGTCCAAATTATGTTCTTCCTTGCACAAAATGCAAGCAATAAGAATTTTAGGAATATTTAAAAAATTTTTTTTTTTTATATTTCTTAAGTAGATGGCATAAGACAATATATTGTTGTTTTGCGGAAATTAGTTTTTCGTGATTTGTTTTAACCAATAAGGGTTGGTGCTGAAACTTCGCAACTTGGCATGTTAATTAATAGTTCTTATATAATTTAAACCAATTTAATTTTTTTGTTTTATCTTTTAAAATGGCGCCCGTAAGAATTTTTTTTGTCAGGCCTTTGTATCGTCCACAGGTTGCAATGTGGCACTCTTTCAAAGTCAAAAATCCATTTTTCTTTTTCATACTTTTCTTGTTGTTTTTTCTTTACAAAAAAACTTCAACGTACAAATTTATACATAAAGTAGGTTCAGACAGTGGGCAACTTTATTACAAACATTTCTGTAAAAGCAGCATGATGATCGAAGCATTACTTTTTGAGATACACAATCCGCAGCTGAGAAAAACATGGTTTCGAGAAAAGGGCATTTAAAGTAATGGAATAATATCTACTGCACAAGAAAGGTGGGCGCCGTCATCCTGGTATAAGTTCCAAAATAGGTAGAATTTCTTCGTGAAACTTTTATGGCACATTTTTAAATAGTTATTCTACCAATTTAAGTAAAAAAACAAGAATGGAAGCTAGCTTCGGCCAGCTGAAGCTTATATACCCTTGCAGATAAAGAAAATACCTATATTTTAATGCTTACTCTGTGCAGTTCCAGGGATTCCAGATTCAGCGTGCCTTTTTAATTTTGATTTTAAGTAGTCAAAAATAAAAACGCCTACTTTCTACAAAGTTACAATGAATTTTCTGTAATTTTATGTAACAAAATTAATTATTAAATTAATTAATTAAAAATAATTATGAAACAATCGCAAAAAGTCGAAAAATATACTATATTTCAGAAAATGAACGGTAAGTCCCTAAAAGGAGGATCAAGGACGCGTGGTATTTTTTTTCGTACACATGATACATCGAGTATCACTATATTGTTTCATAATTATGGTGTCCATCGAATTTTTTGGTTCCAATGGTCAAACTTAACCTTTTCAAACTTTTTCTGGTTAAATATAGACTAAAAGATTCCATTTTGAGAGTTATCCAGACCAAAGGTCCTCCCAATTTTCGACCCATACATAAATATTGAAGATTTCTCTCCATACCTTAGAAAAAGTAGTTTTTATACCCGTCACTCGTACACTTGTGCATGTTCAATTACGATTTTTTTTTACGGTTTTGTTATATACTCTTATGTACAATAGTAACAATAATTACAGTGGTTCACAGCTTATTTCAGCCAGTCTACACCAAACACTTTAACAGCCCATAAAAACCAAACAAAACATGTTATCAAAATAATTTAAACGCAGAGTACATCAATTACTATGTTTATACGATAGGTATCACGATTTCTTGAAAGCGCGATATAGAAATAGCCCCTGTTTATACGACAGCCTAGAATTCATGCTTTTATTCACTCTCAGCTGATGGGGACCACTGATTAGAGAAATAGCCCATAAAAGGCCTTCAATTTCTAGCGATCTGGCAACGTCGACCATTTTTTACAGAGCTACCAGATTGCTTATCACGAAATCACGCTTCTGGGCTGAGCTCATAGTTAACTTTCGTGTGTTGCCGAATTCACGAAATGGCGCTTATACAAGCACGAATCGGCCGAAAGCGTGAAATGATAGCGTGAATTCGGCATCGTATAAACACAGTAAATGATGATACAAATTAGAGTTTAATAATTTTATGAATCAATTACAAAAAAAAAACCCAAAGGAAAGGACACAACTTATTTCAACCAGTTAACAAAAAAATCAAATAAATTAACATAGTGGCCAATAACTATTTTTTTTTTAATTTGGCATGGCTACCCAACTTAAGCAACAATTTAAAGTTAACTTTACATGCCTTTTGCTGTTGTTGCCAAGTAAAAACTACTCTCGACCCTTGGGAAAGACTTTTGGAGTAGTTTCATCTAAAAACATTGTGCTTTCGAATATTTTTATACCCTTGCAGAGGGTATTATAATTTCAGTCAGATGTTTGCAACGCAGTGAAGGAGACGTTTCCGACCACATAAAGTATATATATTCTTGATAAGCACCAATAGCCGATACCATCTAACCGTGTCTGTCTATCCGTTTCCATGTGAACTAGTCTCTCAGTTTTAAAGCTATCGTGATGAAACTTTCCCAAAAGTCTTCTTTCTATTGCAGGTATTACATATGTCGGAGCGAACTGGATCGGACCACTATATCTTAAGGCTACCATAGGTTTAATCAAACAAATATAAGAAAATTCATTGTAACTTTGTAGGATGTAGGTGTTTTGATTTATGACAACTGAAAAGAAACATTATAAAGAGGCTCGCAGATTCTGGAATCCCTGGAACTGCACCGATTGAGTGAACATTAAACTTAAGTATTTACTTTATCTATAAGGGTATATAAGCTTCGGCTGGCCGAATCAAAATAAAAAAAATATATAATATATAAAAAACAAGAAAGGAAGCTAGCTTCGGCCAGCCGAAGCTTATATACCCTTGCAGATCATTCCTATTAATTTACAAATCGCAAAAATGTTCAATTTTCTAATATTTCTCATTAATTTTCCGATCGTTCCTATGGCAGCTATATGATATAGTCGTCCGATTTTGATCAAATTAAAATTGAAATTCGAAAATATTTAAAAAGAGTCATATCCTAGAGTAGGGGATAATACAATAAAAACCAAAGAAGCTAGAATTTATTTCCTATTACTTTTCCATTAATTTTCCGATCGTTCCTATGGCAGCTATATGATATAGTCGTCCGATTTTGATTAAATTAAAATTGAAATTCGGAAATATTTAAAAAGAGTCATATCCTAGAGTAGAAGATAATACAATAAAATCCAAAGAAGTTAAAATTTATTTCCTATTACTTTTCCATTAATTTTCCGATCGTTCCTATGGCAGCTATATGATATAGTAGTCCGATTTTTTAACTAATTAATTCGAAATTCAGATATATTTAAAAAATAACATCCCCAAAAGTAGAAGGTAATATTTCAAAAAACACCGAAGCTAGAATTTTTTAAAGTTTTTTTTTTTCCGATTGTTCCTATGGGAGCCATAAGATATAGTTGTCCGATCCGGTCGGCTCCGACATATATACTACCTGCAATAGAAAGAAGACTTTTGGGAAAGTTTCATCCCGATAGCTCAAAAACTGAGAGACTAGTTTGCGTAGAAACAGACAGACGGACAGACGGACAGACGGACAGACGGACAGACGGACAGACGGACAGACGGACAAACGGACAGACGGACAGACGGACAGACGGACAGACGGACGGACAGACGGACAGACGGACAGACGGACATGGCTAGATCGACTCGTCTTGTGATGCTGATCAAGAATATATATACTTTATGGGGTCGGAAACGTCTCCTTCACTGCGTTGCAAACTTCTGACTGAAATCATAATACCCTCTACAAGGGTATAAAAAAAAAAATCTAAAATTTATTTCCTATTATTTTCCCATTCATTTTCCGATCGTTCCTATGGCAGCTATATGATATAGTCGTCCGATTTTTAATATATTGTATTAGAAAGTAAGAAAGTATTTAAAAAATACTATTTCCAAGAGTAGAAGGTCTTATTTCAAAAAACACCGAAGCTAGAATTTTTTAACGTTTCCTTCCTATGGGAGCTATAAGATATAGTTGTCCGATCCGGTCGGTTCCGACTTATATACTACCTGCAATAGAAAAAAGACTTTTGGGAAAGTTTAAAGCTGATAGCTTAAAAACTGAGAGACTAGTTTGCGTAGAAACAGACAGACGGACAGACGGACAGACGGACAGACGGACAAACGGACAGACGGACAGACGGACGGACAGACGGACAGACGGACATGGCTAGATCGACTCGTCTTGTGATGCTGATCAAGAATATATATACTTTATGGGGTCGGAAACGTCTCCTTCACTGCGTTGCAAACTTCTGACTGAAATCATAATACCCTCTGCAAGGGTATAACAAGAAAGGAAGCTACCTTCGGCCAGCCGAAGCTTATATACCCTTGCAGATAAAGTAATGCTCACTCGGTGCTGTTCCAGGGATTCCAGATTTAGCGTTTCTATTTTTGAATTTTGTTTTTAAAGAGTCAAGAATTAAAACGCCTAACTCCTACAAAGTAACAATGAATTTTCTTATATATCTTTCAATATTCCTATGGGAGCCTTAAGATATAGTGGTCCGATTCGGCTCGCTCCGACATATGTACTACCTGCAATAGAAAGAAGACTTTCGGGAAAGTTTCATCGCGATATTTTTACAACTGAGAGACTAGTTCGCATAGAAACGGACAGACGGACAGACGGACCGACGGACAGACGGACAGACGGACATGGCTAGATCGACTCGTCTAGTGATGCTGATCAAGAATATATATACTTTATGTGGTTGCAAACATCTGACTGAAATTATAATACCCTCTACAAGGGTATAAAAATATATTAAATAAAATAATATAAAAATTCATTTTGTGGTGCTGTGTAATCTATCTTTTAATATTTTTTTGCAGCCTAATACGGGCCTACTAAGTACTCCTCTGATTGAAAATGAGATACGATTCCACACCGTTAACAGCACATTATTGCCAAAAGATCACGTGAGCATCTTTCTGGCTTCGGACTACAGCGAACACATACCCATCGCTCAAGGGAGTGGTTACTTGCAGTTAGAGATCTCCGAGGCGGGCATCGTTCAGGTTGAGTACAATGAAAAATCACGCCTCCTATTGCTAAAGCCACTGAATTTTGGCCATGTGCGTCTTGAATTGACCGACCGCTGTTTGACGAACGAACCCAGCTATCTGTCCGTCTCCGTTGTGGGAATCGGGGCCATTGAAGTAGCCAGCATGGACCGTCTGGAACGCACTACTCGAATAGAAGCGATCGTCAGACTCTTTGACACCAACGAAAAACTCTTGCTCGTGGATCGCAGCAAACTAAGTGTGTACGATCTATCCGTGTTGGTCTGGGACCAAAGTATACTGAGCGTGCGCTTAGGTGAGCAGGACAACCTAGGGCCAGGAGAGATCCGCTATACCATCACGGGAAACAACGTCGGCGAAACTAAGATAGTTTTTCAGTCCGGAAAGTCCGCGGAGCAGGTATCAAGTGAGCCGCTCAATGTTCAGGTCTTTAACCCAATTCGTCTCTATCCGCGCGATTTCACTCTCGTTGTGGGCAGTAGTATTCAGATCTATTACCAAGGCGGTCCAAACCCAAATACCAATATGGTATATACAGTGGAAAAGGAAAATGTAGCAAGTGAGTTAATTTGTTGTGTACCGGCTGACAACGGGGTAATCCTTTAACGTCTTATTCGCAGGTATAAGGTCAGACATTATTACGGCCCTTCAGGTGGGAACCAGCAAGATCTTCGGCAAATGCCTTTTAAAAAACCCCGTCACCGGAAAGGACGAGGTTGTCTCCCAAGACTTGGTGGAGTTACATGTTGTTGCCCTTAAAGGAGTGGAGATACGCACACCGCTGATCCGCATTCGTAGCGGGGCTGTAATGCCCGCCACGTTGTGGGGCCTTTTTGATATATCGCCTATGGTCCTAGGTACTCTTAAAAACATCAAAATCTCCTGGAAAGTCAACCAACCGCAAGTGGTTGAGTTATTTAACATCTTCACGGCTGCGGGTAAGTCTAGTTTAACCAAGGTTATAGTAAACATAAACGTGCATGGATACCGCTGTAGAGATTAAAGGCTTTCGCTCTATGCCCACAAAATGCACGAATATAAAATTTCAAATGTTCTTCGATGAGCCTGGCCGTTTAAGCTTCGAATCAGGAACAGATACGGAACATACAATTCTTGTTATCACTGCTATATTTTATGTACTGAAAATATGAATTGTGAAAGTGATAGCAAGATAACGGCACCCGCCTATCACGCATTGTGCAGTAGATACGAGGGCAGTCCGATAAGTACTTAGCCTCACCGCCCGATGGCGCCACTATCGCAAGAAAACTTTTCTATCGTGTAGTACATTCTATTAGACGGCTACTGTCGAAATTTCAACCGAATCGGACTAGTAGTTTTGTTTTGCCAGCGTGTGGCATCATACGTGTCCGCGGATTTTAGAAAAATGAAGAAAGAGCAATATCGGTCTATGATTCGATTCTTTTTTAAGGGAAATCGCGCAGCGAAATTAAAAGTCCAAAAAGTCCACGATCTCGTTTTGGCAGACCGCCGATTGAAGATACGCGAGATAGCTCAGACAGTACGCATGTTAAAAAACCGCGTGGGTCAAGTCTCAAGTCTCTCGCTTTACAAAAGTTTGCGTCGAATGAGGAGGTCGTCGCCGCCACAGAGGCCTATTTTGCAGACCTCGCGAAAACGTATTTTTCAGACGGGTTAAAGAAGTTGGCGCATCGTTGGGTCAAGTGTATCCAGCTATAAGGAGATTATGTTAAGAAATAAATCGCCACTATTCCAAAATTTTTGTTTTTCTTTTGGAGGCTAAGTACTTATTGGACCACCCTCGTACGTATAACTAGTGTTATGTTTGTCAGGATAATTCGCGCAGTGTAAAAGCTATTGACATCAATTTTTCCCAGTTTTATTTATTAACGCATACGTTGATCAGGGTAATAGCGCTTGCCGATCGGACGTCTATATCTTAAAGCTTCCATAGGAACAATTGTAAAAAGCTGTGAAAATATCAGGGCTGTGAACTAGACTACTGATAAGCAAGTCATTATACTTGTTACTCGTAGAGTAAAAGGGTATATTAGATTCGTGCAAAAGTATGTAACAGCTAAAATGAAGCGTTTCCGACCCCATAAAGTATATATATTCTTGATCAGGGCACTAACCGAGTCGATTTAGCCATGTCCGTCTGTATGAACGCTAGAAGGCTAGAAGGCTAGAAGGTTGAGATTTTCCACACATATTCTTTGGCTTCCTACGCAGCGCAAGTTTGTTTTAGCCGAGCGCCACGCCCCCTCTAACGCCCACAATCGCCCACTAACGATTTAATATTGGGTCCTGCGCCCACATCTTTAAAGATTTCCGAGAGGTATAAATGCAATTTTGTTGTGTATATTTATACCTATCGAAATGTAGAAGACATTTTTCAAATCATTAAAATGTTATACGCAATCAAAATTTATATATCTATCTCCCTCGCACTCCCTTTAGCTGAGTTACGGTTATTAGTCGGGACACCAACCCGAGTACAGCGTTCTCTCTTGTTATACCCTTGTAGAGGGTATTATAATTTTACTCAGATGTTTGCAACGCAGTGAAGGAGACGTTTCCGACCACATAAAGTATATATATTCTTGATCAGCACCAATAGCCGAGTCTATCTAGCCATGTCCGTCTGTCCGTCTGTCTGTCTGTCCGTCTGTCCGTTTCTATGCGAACTAGTCTCTCAGTTTTAAAGCTATCGCGATTAAACTTTCCCGAAAGTCTTCTTTCTTTTGCAGGTAGTACATATGTGCCCTCGCCTAGCAATGGGTGGGGTTGGTGGCCGATTTCCGCCTCTTCTCCATAGTGAGGAAGACGTGGTGCCCAATTCGTCGCTGAGTTCCTCTGCTCTGCGGCGGGCGGTGTCGGCAGCAGTTTCGTTGGGCGTAGGCCGTCGGAGTCGCTGCGTCCCTTGCGCCTGACTGGCTGCGCATCGCACTGGGAGTCGCCCGGTGTCCGGGGGTGGCGAGTATGGTCCCGGTCCGAAGATCTCTTCGTAGGAGGGCGGTGGAGTCCTCGGTGGACTGCTGGGGGCGCTTGCGGTCTAGGGTGGTGGCCTGTCGTCTTCGGAGTCGAGGATTACAATTGTGTCGCTTTCACTGGTGGGCAGGGAGCACTCCTCCAGCGTGGAGACCTCGGTCTCGGTGGCATTGCTGTCATCGTTGTCGTCCATGCGATCGTCTGGCTCCGACCCTGTCTCGTCGCTGGAGATGAGCTCGGCCCTGGAGTCGGGGACCTGCCTTCATCCGCGGCGTGCTCGACTAGGCCCTCGGGGCTCCCGTGGCCGTGGTGGGGTTAGTTCTGTTCGCAGCGGGCCGAAACGACCATCCGGTGGTACATTGTCTTCGCATTCGCCTTGGCCCGGGGGTGGCCGGCGGTCTCCGAACAACCGGAAACTGTACAGTGGTCCGGCTTGGTCGTCGCCAGTGTGGGGACCATGACTCTCACCCAAGTGAAGGCTCCCTCGTATTTCTTCAATGGTGGTGGACAGCCACGACCAGTCGCCTCCTGGCGGCGGGCTCGTGCCAGAGGTTCCCCGTTGCGCATCGTCGTCAGTAGAATCCGGTATAATGCGTCCGGCCATCTCGGTCCTGATCGTAGCTTGCGTTGGTGGTCGATCGTCCGACCACGGGTTAGAATGGGGTGGGTGGACTCGTCGGGTTCCTTCGTTGGCCATAGGATCTTCGTTCTGGTCTTATGCACTTCTTGCGGGTTACTTGGCTTCTTTTGCGTTCCTTTTTAATTGTGTGGCGTGGATCCCTGGCGTTGGCGTGGCGTGAATCCCTGGCGCTTGCGTTGCGTGAATCCCTGGCGCTGGCGTTGCGTGGATCCCTGGCGTTGGCGTGGCGTGGATCTCTGGCGCTGGCGTTGCGTGAATCCCTGGCGCTTGTGTGGCGTGGATCCCTGGCGTTGGCGTGGCGTGGATCCCTGGCGCTGGCGTTGCGTGGCTGTGAAAAAAAATACAAAGGTGGTGTTAGAGGGTGCTTCTCGTAGGACCCTACCTAGCGAAGCGCGGAACGAAGGGGAAAGGAAGGTTCACATGTTTTACCCCGAGGGGCGGGGCGTTGGAAAGGCGCGCCGGTCAGCAAGTGGCCCCTACGAAAACATGACCTCCTTTATCACCCGCGTGGGCTCCTGGTTTAGTGATGCAGGATAGTGGTGGTTGCTCAGGTCTCGTGCTCTCGTCATTTAGCTGCGCCCCGCTGTATATACCCTCAGCATGGTCGTCCCCGTCGTCGCGGCTGACGTTGTTGACGCCATCGGAGTCGAGGTCCTCGATGTTGGTACTCTCGACATCTGTCCCTTCGCCATGGTACGGCTTTAGTTGGCTCAGGCTCGCAGTTCGTCGACGGCGACTCCCGGGTATATGCAACTGCACGATATTCGGGGAAGGGAACTTCGCGACCCGGAAGGGTCCATCGTATCTGGCGGCTAGCTTTGCGGCAAATCCCTCGGCGGCGTTGGACAATGAGTGGCGTCTCACCAATACTAGGGAACCCACCGGTGGCCTCCAGGTTCGTCGGCGTAGGTTGTAATGGCGACCTTGATCGGCTGCGGCGCGTTCGGCGTTGTTTCGTACTGCGTCGAAGATATTTCTCAGCTGTTCGCTCCGCTCGGTTGGGGCCACCTCTGGCGTGCCCCGTCCAGGTGTAACCTCGTCGTACAAGGCCTTTGGTAGTCGAGGTTCACGTCCTTGCATCAGCAACGCCGGGCTGAATCCTGTTGTGTCAGAAACGCTGCTATTGATCGCTAGGGATATCTCCGTCAACAGTTGGTCCCATCCGTTCTGCGGGCCTCCATCCAGGTATTGGGCGATCATTGTCTTGATCGTTCGGTTGGCCCTCTCCGTCGGGTTCTGCCTTGGCGTGTACGGCGCCGTGTGTTGCAGCTCCATGCCCAGAGACTTACAGAAGTTCTGGAATGACCGGCCCGTAAACTGCGTGCCGTTGTCGCAGACGAATGTCCTTGGTACTCCAAATCTGCTCAGGATCCGCTCTCGAAAAGCGCGTTCCAGTTGGGTTCCTGTCGCCTTTCGTAAGGGCACCAGTTCCATCCATTTGCTGAATGCATCCAGGAACACTAAGAGCATGGTGTTGTCCTGTTTTGAGCGTGGCAGCGGGCCGACGAAATCTGCGCAGAGGATGTGAAACGGCTCCTGAACCTGTCGCGTAAACATTTTCCCGGCTGGTTTCTCCTGGCTCACTTTGTATTTCTGGCAGCTGGTGCAGTGGCGTACGTAGCGGGCCACGTCACGGAACAGGCCCGGCCAATAATAGCGCTGGGCTACGCGATTACTGGTCTTCCGGATCCCGAGGTGTCCGGCGGTTGGATGGTCATGGCATTCCTCGAGGACTCGCGACCGGTAGTCCGTTCCTACGCACGGCTTCCATGGTGTATACTCCTCTTCTTCTGGTCGTAACCCGATGCGTCGGTATAATTGCCCATTTTCCTCGTGGTAATCCGGGAACTTAGCGGGTTCGGTCTGTACCTTCTGAAGCATCCTCGTGATCCACCTGCACTTGACTCCTTGTACCTGTGCTTGTTGTGCCATGGACAGCGGTTGGCGGGAAAGAGCGTCGGCTACTAGATTCTGGGCTCCTTTCCGGTAGTGGACGTCATACTGGTATTGTTGTAACTCGAGGGCCCAGCGCGATATCCTGCCCGTCGGGTTGTCAATGGAGTTCAGCCATTTCAGCGAGTGATGATCCGTGAGAACGTCAAAACGATACCCCTCAATGTAGCATCGCATCTTCCGAACTGCCCACACGATAGCGAGACACTCTTTTTCCGTCACCGAGTAATTCATCTCGGCCGGGTTGAGTCGGTGACTAGCGTAGGCTATTACCCTCTCGTGTCCGTCGATGGTCTGCGTCAATACGGCTCCTATGCCGAATTCGCTGGCGTCGGTCTGCAGAACGAACCTCTTCCCGAAGTCGGGACAGGCCAAGATTGGTGCCTTCGTCAACAAGTTCTTTAACTCCTGAACGGCATTATCCTGCCTTTGCGTCCACTCCCACTTTCGGCCTTTCTTCAGCAACGCTGTCATGGGTTCCACAACGTCGGCGGTTTTGTCCCCAAACGGCGATACCAGGATGCGATTCCCAGGCATCTCCGGAGT